CTCCTTATCTCTGTTCTATTTACCTGACCATCTGTGTTTATTGAGGGGTAAATAATGGCTTAGACATAAGGGAAACCTTCCCTGCTCTTCCTCTCTACGTTCTTCCCCAGAACACAGCCCGGATCTCAATTTAACACCTCCTCGAAATAGACAGCATCTACTGACAGTGCGGCCCTCCTTCAGTACAGCACATACAGGGTCAACATTGGATATTGTCCATAAGTGTTTGGAGTTGGACTCGAACACACAACATGTTCATTCAGATGTGAGAATGATAGGATCAGACCGCAGCTCAGTGATATGGGAACAGGACAGCACTTATGCTCAGTAACACACTGGGAATCACAGAATAGAATCCCTATTGCGTGGGAGCAGGCTCTTTGGCCCATCAGGTCCACACTGACCCTCCAAAGAGCATCCTATCCTATCCAAACCCATCCCTGTAACCCTGCATTGCCCATGCACTAACCCACCCCAGCCTGCAGATCCCTGAACACTATGGCCAATCCACCTAACCTACACACCTTTGGACTGTGGGAGGAAACTGGAGCACCTGGAGGAAACCCATGCAGACACAGGGAGAATGCACAAACATCCACACAGACAGTCACCCGAGGAGTGGAATCGAACCCAGGTCCCTGGTGCTGTGAGACAGCAGTGCTAACCACTGAGCCACTGTGCCACCCACTCAATGAGCCCAGCACTGTGAGGGGCAGAAGTTAGGCTGCTGTTTACTCACAATGACCCTGAATGGATGAGAACCCTACTACAAATAGCCTGAGTGACTCTTGGCTTTAGTGAATGCCTCTGTCAGGTTATTCCCAGTGGAATCCTGGTCTCTGGCTTTCTCACCATGAGGAATTTGAGCTCCACTTTCATGTATCCCGTGGACAAACTGCCTGTTGTTGTTTAGTGTCCCAGACTCACTGGGCAGTGGGGAGAGGCCATATGCTGTATTCCAGCATAAATTACTTTGTCTGAGGCTGGAGGTTCATCAGGGGATTTGGGTAAATCTATTTAGATAGTGAGCTACCTTTTTGAATAAACAGTCACCCCTCCATACAGTTACAGTAAGTAATCCTCACCCTGCCAAATAAACACTGACCCTGTACGGTTACACAGTGAGTGACCCTCATCCTACTGCATAAACACTGCCTCTGTACGGTTACACAGTGAGTGACCCTCATCCTACTGCATAAACACTGCCTCTGTACGGTTACACAGTGAGTGACCCTCACCCTGCTGAATAAACACTGACCCTGTACAGTTACACAGTGAGTG